CTCAATCCTGGTGGTCCTGCATTTCAAAGAACTAAAATTGTCAGAAGCATAAACTGAGACTGTGATAAGAGAATCATTGTTTTTATTGTAAAACAAGCTTCGTATGACTTCATCAGGACTGACATTCAAAAAGCATATCCTCTGGTTAGCCTCTGCATCCAACAATGGACAAATTATAAGGGGCCCCTTTTCTCAATGTCTAGAAGCATACACTGTTTATCACCACATATTCTTCACATAAACATAGAGATGGTTATTAAACTAGGGCTCTACCTCGGCTAAATGCAGCACAAACACCAGATTGCGCAAGAGCAAAGACAATGTCATGGGCAGCTACTATTTCAATGATTTTTGACCTCTTTTTGAGAAAGGACAATACCATGCCGCAATGTCCTTTTGGGTCATGGGTATCATATTCCTCCTGAGACAATATTCATACAGGTCATCACCAGAAGAAATTACAATATACAAAAATGATAGACCTACACAGCTTATAAAATAATATAGGGGAAATGATCAGATCAATAATCAAGTAAAAACTCTCTGTTATATGAGAAATAGCTTGGCAAGATGCACTAACACAATGCGTAAAAATTGCTGAATGCTTATATAAATTTCAGTCACATAATTTGATTGTCATCTTAATTTTGATAATAGAACTAAATTGCGGGTAGAATGCACTGCAATTGCCACATCTTCAGGTATCTTCGAATCAATAATTCTATCATCCCAAAGTCTTATCAGCCAACGCACATGAATAGCAGACAACACAGAAAACTGACCTTCCAAATCATTCCAAAATTAATCCTCCAATCACCTAAACATGACCATGGCAAAAGAGAAGTCCCATTACATATGCTTGACCTCGACTTACCAATCCTAAGAAAATTCTGGGTGGGATGATTCTAATTCAAGGTATGTCTGGACAAACCCCCTTTAGCAACTTCTATATATGGAAATAAATTGGCAGGCTCTCAATTCTTCTGCTATCACCAGTCATACAAAGAAAGAAACCCTCCGACACCATGTCTAGAAGCTTAACTAGCAACTCATAATGGCAACGTGTCATTGTCACATGACACACTCATCCAATCGAATTCCACCACACGGGAAAGGAGAAAAAACCCCATGTCCAAAAGCGTAAATAGCGACACATAATGGTTGACACGAGGACACATGCAATGTTACCTCCATCCGGGACACGTGCAATGTTGCCTATGTATCTAAATTTGATTGAATGGTTACACCGCGTGATATCGATGACGTGGTGGGTAAAACCCACAAAATAGTTTCTCATTAAGTTATGTATATGACATATCACAAATTAACATATCAAGGAATAAAATAATGAGAAAATAAATACATTTACATATATGACATGTCACATAAACATATCAAGAAATAAAATTTTGAGAACATAGATACATTGCAAGTCCAAAACATACCAAGTATATATCAATGTGAAATTTTCTAAAATAAAAAATGGACATTTATATTAAGGGCAAGTTTGTGATCTTTCAAAAAAGATAAAAAGACAAAAAATTATAAAAAAAGTTAAAAAGTTATCACTATTCACTAAAAAAAATTATAAAAAAAATATTTTTATACAAAAAATGGTACAAAGCAGCACTGATGTGAGTTGCCTGGTGCAGACTTTGCGAACAAATTACACAGGTGGAGGCAAGTTTAAGAACAGTGTTGTTCGGCCCGTGGGGGCCCATCACGGGTTTCGTTTTGATAATCTGAACCGTTCAATGTGTAGAACTCGTCGAGTACTATATGTTTGTAAAAAATCACGTTGATCGGATATCACTAACTATATAATCAAATCAGTTTTGTATAAAAAGTGGATGGTGTTATAGTTAACAGTTGACAAAAAACTAACACGATCAAATAGCTATCGATATCCAATCAACGCAATTTTTGTATGAGCATATAGCACTCGACTAGTTCTATACATTGAACGGTTCCGATTAGCAAAACAGGACCCGTGGTGGGCCCCCACCGGCCGAACAACATCGTCTGATTCAAGCCTGAAAAATAGGCAATTATTTCTCATCTCCTCACCAACACACCACATTGCCAACTGTACGGCCTACTCCCATTACCTTCTCCTATACACTTATTTATATAATTTTTTAATACACATTTTTTCGTAAAAAGTCAAAAAGTTAACCCAAACATCCATATTTTTTTCCTCAACTTTTTAGTCCAAAAAGACAAAAAGTGTACTTATTTAGGACACCCCAAACAACCCCTAAATCATGCAATGGAATATACTTGTCCAAAAAAAGAAACAATGTTATATACAATCTCATAAGATATATATCATACAACTAACTTAAAGAGGGAGCTGGATGAGTAGAGAACCTTGATTATCTTTCAAATCTTTAGCTTAATGCAATGTTGTACATGTAATAAATGATACTTTAATATGTTATACTCTCACTGTCCCATTTTTTATCTATACTTTCAAGTTTTGGAAGTTCGACTTTATGTGTCCTAGCTGGAAACTACAAAATCTTAACACTCACTAACCCTTATTAACCTTCTTTAAATTTATACTTGCACAATTCCAATTCTCGAAACATCATTCTATGAGGACAATAAAAGCATTTTGTAAAAATATCATTCAAAGATTCTTTCTTAAAGTTTTTCCAAAGTCAACTAGGGCACAAAAATGGAACAAAAGTGTCATATTCATGTAATATTAGGAGAGATTATTCAGTGGGTTGTACTCACCATTTCACAATGCCACATGGCATGATCATCTAAACAATTTCAATATGGAGGCAACATTGCAAGTGTCTCAAATGGAGGCAACACTGCACACGTACACGTGTCAATCATTACATATTCTCATGTTAATAAAAAATGGGATCTTCCCTTATTTTCCATGTGATGAAACATGATTGATTGGCAAATTATTGACATGGTATCACACACATACTAATTTCTTGTAATAAATAACATAAAATATGTCATATATATTAAATATTATTGTACAATATAAATAATTCTTTTACAAATAAATGGTATATTTAAAATAAGAATAAAAAAACAGAAACAAAATACCGAGACGGTCCTAGCCATATGCATAGGATGTGCAAACGGAGGAAAAAGAAAAAAACAACAAACTACTCCGAAAACTCCATGAATTCCAAACTTTGATTCAACGATAGTTCAACACCACCCGGGAACCAACTATAACAATGTAGTGCAATAATATGGCAGTATAACCCAACTTACTAATATTGAGTGAATGTTACACAAATTAATATGATTCATCCACCTGTGATAAATTGTTGATAAATCACGTATTTTGATATTTTATTCCATAAACTCCATCCCAAAGAATTGTTTTAGAAAACAACTTCAAAATATTTTGTCTTGACTCACAATCACTGTAGCCTATGTTAAATAGATCCCACACATTCAAATATTATATGGTGAAAATAATATTTAGGCCTCGTTTGGCAAGTAGTGATTTTAGCCAAAAAGCCAAAAAATCATTAAAAATAGCCAAAAGCTAACAACCTATACCAAAAAGTCAAAGATTTCTTTTTTCCTCTACTTTTTGCACATCTTTTTTTGTAAAAAAATCAAAAAATCATCCCAAAACATACTATTTTTTTTTTATATCATATTTTAGCCAAAAAGCCAAAAAGTTACAAAAAAAGCTTGTTCCCAAACGAGGCCTTAATGTGCTAAGTTATTACAAGGTTCATACTTGAATAGAAATTATGTAAAATGGAATTTTGTACAAAAAATAAGTTCTAACTATATTACCTTGTAAGAAACAATAAACCCTTCTCTACTATCAATGTTGAGCTTCTTCTGCTTCTTCCTTTTATTCTATCTTCACACAAAGGATCATCATATCCAATTTGAATACATGTCTCAAGGACATAGCCCGTAAGGCCATACCTATGCCAATGATACGTTGGGTCAACAAAGGCACCCTTGAGGGAGTATATCTCTATGCGTGCACCCACCTCACCCCCCACCCAAAAGCTAGCTTATCACCTCATCCCATTACATATCCTTCTCCATTTTCAAACTCCACTTACTTCAAAATACATGTCCACAATTGGCATCATGTGTTATAACCAAAGTGAAAAAAACCATATTTCATATCTCTTTTTCCAATAAGGTCAACCTACGTTACTGAAAGACTTCAACCCCCAAAAGGATCCTCAATGTGATAACATATTCGTTTGGAATGTGGGTTGACTTTTTTACTATTTTAGTCTGGAGCTAAAAAGTCTCGCTTGGAATAGATTTTTTGATTGTTTTGACTTTTCTAAGAGAAAAAATGAAATGATTATGGTTTAAATGTGACATTTTGTCTTATTGGGTTAAAAAAACTTATTTTGTCTTTTTGTGACTATTTTAGCCAAAAATCTCATTTTAGCTTATGCCAAACGAAGGCTCTAGAAAGTTCTAGTGGTGGAGACAAATTCATGTTCTAAATCTTCTCATATACAAACACAAGAAAAACACACACAAGATTTGGTATACACGGACTTCAAGACCAACATCCATCGCTCTAACTGTTAGTGTCCATAGCGAGAACTGGGCTACATATTACAGTCACTCTGCCAAATTAGATTTGGACTCCCTACATTTTTGTTACATGAAAATCCTGCCACCTATTATTTCTTCATCTTTTTTTAATCTGTCCACCACAGAAACTGGTAAGTTTTTAATGGCGCAAGTCAATAATTTGATATATTGAACAACAACCCATATCATAAGAGCAACTAATTGATGAGAAAACACATTGTATGTATGTGTATGTATGTGAGAGCGATTGTATGTGTGTAAAAGGAACCAATGCTAGGTAAGTTGCGGAACACTCATAAAAACATAAAACCCTAACTTTTTCACAGTGCATCACACACTGCAGATACAAATTCATATATATCTAGACATATATTTTCATTTGTTGCAATTATTCCTAAAACTGAGAAACAAAATGGAGGCAATATTGAACCAACCTGCAAGCGAATGTTCCTGAACCTTTCTTGGGCATCGCTCATACTGAAATTCTTGCATAAAGATCTATCAAATGTGATCCATATTGACTATGAAATCCTTCAAAATATATATATATATATATATATATTTTACAGTCGAAATTGATATAAACAGTAATAGTAATATGTTACTCTGTTTGATAGTAACATTTTATTTTGTTTGACAGTTACTCTGTTTGACAGTAATATGTTACTCTTGCAATATTGTCCAAGAGAAAAAAAAAGCAAAAGGTATTTTACTTTGTCTTTACTCAATTATGTGTTTTCTCCCTAGGGAGTTTATAAAGTAAAATAAATTGGGCCGTCCTTTTCACCAAACAAGGGTCCAATGAAGAGGTTTTGGCTAAATTTCCCAACAAAAATTTATTAATGTTGGTCATTACTATCTAATAATAGTAACATTTTATTTTGTTTGACAGTTACTCTGTTTGACAGTAATATGTTACTCTTGCAATATTGTCCAAGAGAAAAAAAAAGCAAAAGGTATTTTACTTTGTCTTTACTCAATTATGTGTTTTCTCCCTAGGGAGTTTATAAAGTAAAATAAATTGGGCCGTCATTTTTACCAAACAAGGGTCCAATGAAGAGGTTTTGGCTAAATTTCCCAACAAAAATTTATTAATGTTGATCATTACTATCTAATAGTTGGGCATTTAAAAATTTGGTATCACAATGATTAGAAAGTAAAAAGAAGGAAAAAGGAAAGAAGAGGATGAGGAAAATGACACAGTAGCCTTAAGATTTATTATTACACAAAAACTTTGAATACCTCAAATCTATGGCTCCAAAATGTTGAGAAAGCTTTTCCATATCAGAGACCTGCTTTGAAGAGCATGTGGCTCCAGCAACCTGGTTGAAAGCAGCAGCTAATTCTCCTCTTAATGTTGTTAGCCTCAAATCCATTGCTCGCAGCAATTCATTCCTGTCAGTGTGCAAGGTGTAATTTGGCGCACACAGCAGAGAAAAATTTGGTTATTGATAACAAAACAACCAATATACGTACTTCGTTGCATCTGATGACACAATCTCAACTTCATCCTGTTACCACAAACCATATTAGTTGCCAAATACAATTACGTGTTATACTAAAAAGGTAAAGAAATAGCAATTACCTTAATCTGTGGTTCCACACCATTCAGGTTGCAGCAGTCTGTTAGCGAAGGGGCACCAACAATCACTGAGTATTTAGCTAAAAAACAAATGGAGAAATACAATTGCAAACATGAAACTTGATCATAATGAAAGAGAAGGACACAACAATTTATAAAACGGGGAAAATCCAACCTATCAAACCCCACACTAACTTCTTGATTCTAGGCTTAATTGACAGACAAAATACTTCCCTGTTCTCTTCTTCTCTTCTCTTTTGTTTTATTAAATCTATTCTCCCCACACTAACTGTGACATTGGCTTGTCTCAATTTAGAAGACAGTTCAAAGTGATAATTTACATTCCATAAATAAACAGATCTACTAGCATGGAGTTCGATCAGGCTTTGATTAAAATGGCCAAGTTACATCCTCACTGGAAGCACAAAAAACTAATGCAGCAGCTCTATATTTTAGCTATCCCAGGTTTATAGAAAGTAAATGTTTAATAAATTAACCTGTTGCTCCATCTCCAGAATGATCCCGATGATCCTGAGAAAAGGAATACAATATGCATATGAGTTTAATACATATTTGAAGCAGAGAAATGCTAGAGACCCATACTTTTAAAGCCACAAATTCACCCACAATGATGTGGCAAGGGAGTTGGGTCCTATATCATTGGGTGTAACAAATCAAAAGTTGACACTTATCAAAACAAATCATTGTGGGTCGAATTGTGGAAGTTTTTTGGGAGTCTCAAACATTTCTTTGAAGTATCAACTCCCAAGAAATGTATAGATATTACCTTGGTATACAAAGAAAGGTGAAATTTTCTGGCTTCCTCCAGTTGAGTTATCTCATTTCCAATAGCATTGGTGGTATTTAGTGTGTCCGATGAACCAACAATACGTAAAAATCTGAGAAATAATCAGATAGAAATAATAGAAGAACTAAACATCCTCATTTTCTCCTTCACAAAAAATTAAAAAAAAAGAAAGAAGAAGGCCAAGTGACAAAACAAGAAAGAGTTTAATGACATCAACCTTGTTAATGTTGATTTTGTGAACCACAGGGAACTATCAAGATTTTTGGGTGGTTGAAGTTTGAAGTTGGCATTGGATCCTCTTGACAACAAATTTTTTAGTTCAGGTAAATGCAGTGCCAGCTGTCCCAAAAGTCCAGATGCTATTGTTTCTACCTTGTTGCCACTGCATACACATGCCTCATACCTACAACAAAGTCTGAATGCTGTTCAAAACAATTTCCAAGTATAACAATAATAACAATAGCCATTACCATCATCTTCATAATGATTTTTTTTAGCGTCAATGATCATTGTTCTTGCTGTTTTTAACAACAATCATATTTATTACTACATTTTTGTGAGGCATCTAATTTTTTATCCATTAAATGATTAATGGTTTTAATGGGGGGATATGTAAATTCTCAAATTTAAATTTCATTGCTACGAAAAGGGCTTGAAAACTTTTGGAACATTCAAAATTCAAAATCATTTGCATCTAACATGCAATTAAACAGAATAAAACACCAAATTGGATATCCTCACTAATCAATTTGCATGCAGAAGATATTTGTCAAAGCCCATATAGAAAAGAATCACTAGATATTTTAGCCAATCTAATTTGATTGTATCCTAATCACATTAATCTTTGGTAAAGGTCCAATTTTAGTGAAAAATTCAAATGACCCAACAAATTTGAATTTGAAAATCTAAAGAAAAAACATGAGGGATAAGAAAAATTTCAGCCTTGTCATTAAAATCAAAAATAAAAAATAAAAACCCTTCACGGTGAAGTATACATAATTCAGTATCAGTGGAAAATTGTTACAAAAAGAAGTTTAACCTACCTGTCCCGGCTTGGAAATAATTGAAATTCAGCATAATCAAGTGGTGAATCGGCGTCGATTTCAGCCTCCATCTCAACCAACTTATCTATCAAGCACAACAACCTGAAGGGGAATAAAAAAATAAAATAAAATAAATCAAACTAACCATTCCAGTTGCAAACAACATTCCATACATTGCATTCATAGAGAAGCCAATATGATATATATAATCTGACCTTCAAAATATATATAATATAACTACTTCACTTGAACTCAAAACCACGCAGAGACCTATATTATATAAATACTACCATGCTCGTGCTTGAAGGGCACGCTGTAAATAACGTTACAATTAAAATATAATTAAAATTTATTTTTTAATTTGATAAAATTACAAATTTACTATAAAATTTGTGAATTCTCACAAAATTCTTTACGAAAATTCTCTTTTACTTATATAATATATAGCTGTGCTTGGTATATATATAATTTCTACAGATATCATATAATATTGCTTTTGCTTATATAATTATATGGAAATTATATGTATAATGTCTTAATTTATTACGAACAACATACATTCTATGGAAATATGTGTAAAATAAGTGAATAAAAAAGAGAAAATAAAAAAAATATAAATGAATAGAGAGAAAAAAAAAAAATAGAGAAGAAGGTGTGATCATTGGATCATGGAAAGATGGTTTAGAAAAGGAAAAAGTAAGAGAGAGAAGTGGGAAAATAGAAAATGTAAATTTAGAATATTTTTTGAAAAATATATCTTAGTCGTTATTTTATAATTTGAATAAATTTAAGCCATCTAAATATCCTAATAAGACAAATATGTGTAGGACAAATTTAAAAACTAACTTGCTTTATTAGAGCATCCACAATAGACACGTTAGCAGTGTTGTTAGTGTCAGTGGCCAAATTTTAGGTAGCTACAGTGACATTTGGATGCCACAATAGATGCGTTAAGCAGTGTGTTAGTGGGCTTTGTTAGCGTTAGTTGCTAAATTGTTTGTTAACTGCGGCTAGCGCTTTAGCTAGCGCAGGGAAGTGTTTTTTTTGTGTTACGGGTTGACCGGCCGGACGTCCGGCCGGTTGACCGGTC